ATTTCAGCGAGAAAAAGATCTGCGATTCTTAAAATGGCCAAATCGGAAATGTACGAACTTTGACCGACGCGCAGTGTGTCCAACAATGGACAAAAGTCAAAAAACTAAAGTCTACGTTTCATAAATTCTTATATCCCAAAATGTTAATAAAGGAATGTAGATTTTAACACTATCCATAACTTTTACTGAATTTACCAATTTGTTGTTGAAAATGGTGTTATAAATTTATGTGCATTTACCGAAAATTTGTGTTTTTACTTTGATTTTTGCAAGTTATAGTATCTTCCAAACTGCTAAACAATCTTTTTACAATATTAATAAAAATACCTCGATGATTTTTTGTATATTAATTTAGGACACATTAAACTTTAATTTAACGCCAATTTTAGCTGCCCGAATTTGCCCGAAACAGAGAAAATGATCAAAATCATTGTTGCAAGTACTGATACTTGCTCAGAATCAGAATCGGAATTAATCTAATAAAAAATGTGCTTTTATTTATTTGCAAAATAAGAAATTGTTTCTGCATCTATTTTATATTTTAATTAAAAAGGAATAAAGGAAAAACATTACACAGATGCAGAGTTATGATTTTCTTTCCGAACACCTATATACTCAAAATGATCGCTAAAAACTTTTTGAGCAAAAGTTACACAGCAATCACTTGACAAGAAATTGCGATAATAAAAATTAGCGAAACAATTTTTTTAACAAAAATGCACAATTTTTATGCATCAATTGATGCATCTTTGTATTCTCTTTAAAAAGGTGTAAGAGGTCTTAGGTCAAAAATTAACTAGTTTAGAAACTATGATTTTTGTTTCGAATTCCCATTTACGCGACACACTGTGCGACGTCTCGGCTAATAAATGTATTTATGTTCGTTAAAAATTGAACTTTTCGAAAACAACTTTTCGTACAAAGATATAAGAATATTTACTCACGATTATTCCACTCGGTTACCCCGAGATGAAAAGAAAACAGACAAAAGGCAGACAGATATGTCCGATAGTCGCTGACGAAACACAGCCGTATAATTTGTGTTTCGGTGGAAGTTTCGTTTTTTAATTATAGTAGCTACTTATGTCGGTGCTACAAATTTTTAATATTTCTTATTTATAAAAAGGTGTAAGAATATGTTTTCTATATAAAAATAGTTGTCGACAAATCTTAACTGGGGTTCGATAATTATAGTTTTAAAGTTAATTTCGTATCTTCGATAGATATTTGTCTTCGAGCTAAAACATGTTGGAAACTGTACTTAGGTTACCTCCCACGTGCAATATAAATCAACATCGAACGTTGAAAACCTACTTGGCAAACTTTTTCAATAAAATGGATGCCAAAGAGCGCAGACATCCGCTGTCCCACGAACCATAACTCACGACAGAAGTTTAGGTCATGCACAAATTCTTGAAAGTATCGTCTTTAGATTGGATGAGCCATATTTACCTTTCAGGCAAGACACGCTTTGTTCGAGTACTTTGTTGCTGGCTTAATAAACCCTAAGAGGGCTACGAGAGCACTCTAGCTTAACTCTACACCCGAGCATTATTCCTTAAGTTGAAAAGCACGCGCGCTTGACATCGTTTTTCATTCTGTGAGCGATGCCATTACACCTCAAGGGCAGGTGCTAACTAACCGGATTTCAGAAACGTATCCACGAATTTAATCGGTCCAGGAATTTCCTACACGGAAGATCCGCGATTACTCGTCTTATCAATTAAGAGTAGAATTTAAGCTAGTGTCTACTTTATCTTGACATTGCTTTTATTAACTCGTACGTAACTACCACGTAACGAGTCTTTGCTAGAACAATATCCAACGATTCTAGAAACGTTTTTCTACCGGATTTTTCTGTCGACTATTGCGTTTGTAGGTCGTGTTTTCAATTTATGAAACAATCTGCACGGCTGATCGGACGAGGGAACAATTTATCGGATAGTTTTATTTCTGCCTCGACCCGACTATGGTTCTGATGCTGTGCTCACAAAGTTTCGGAGGGTGACCTAAAACGCATAGGGAAAACATAATTTTATTTATCGACTTATATTAATCGTGCAGTACGTTTGATCGAATGTCCATTTTTCTCTCTTATAAAATTAAGAAGTCTTAAAGTGCTCGTTTGTAATTAGAACCTGTTGTTCCAAGAGTGTTCGTTTGGAAAGCAGTTACTTCCTTGATTCGAGCACATTGATCTTGCGGTTGACGAAACCCGATTGGAGCCCGGCCAGAGCTCAATGCTCGTGACTGATCGTCGCAAACTGACCCAGCATTTGACGAGCATTTTCCGAAGACAAACTAACCGACACCCAAAATCCTCAGCTTAAGCTCGATTTCTCTTACAAAGCTGTCACGTAGGAACATTATTCAAAGTGGGAGGATTTGGCAATCAATTAAACTAATAGAATTTGCTTAGACGGGCGATTTCTCAAGCATCGCAAAATTCTCGATCATCTTGCAGCACAAGACGTTCATATAAATCATACAAGAGAATTCCCTTCTGATATTATTTGAAATGTTTCGTACAACCAAGCAAGTTTCTTTCGAGAAGCGTACATTTCAATTGTACTCTATTATTGTAAAGATATTTTTACAGGATATAATTTCGGCTCCAGTCCTAGAGTCACTATTATTTTACGATCACGTTATCGGTGGCAATTGGCATTAATCAGTGAACCCTGAAACGCTCACCATACAGGCTGTTACATAATTATCGATCGTGAGTGCTCGATGATGCAATCGTAAATACGCGGGAACAATCACGGATGTACTTCTAATCTCTAACTGCGATTACAAAACTAAACTTTGAAAACTTTTAGTCAATTATTTAAATTAAATTGGAACGGTGCCCGGTTAAAACATTTATGAAGTCATTTAAAAGAATATTTATATCACTTTCCTCAAAATCAACTATTCCTCGATTAAAATGGTTCAACTCGTAAAGAAACGGTTGACTGGAAACTCACGGAAACGTACCAGGGGTACTTGTACTTTTAAATATTACAGCGTCGATGATAGATGGTCCCATAATGTTTTTATCTTTCCCACGACACCGCCCGTTATTTTCAAGAGCATATTTCGTGGACCAATTTTCGTATCAGACTCGAATCTTGATCTCCCTAATGGCCGATTATCGAATATCCTATCTAATCCCCTACATCCGAGTCACCGTAATTTGTACCGCGTTTCAACTAGAAGGCTGGACGTGATGCGATGCGGCATTACAACTGTGGCTTCGGGATCTCGTCTATCAATAAATATTATGGGAGATCGGTGCTGCGTTTACAGTATCATGCACAATAGTTTTCTAATTGAGAATTGCAGATACGTTTGACAAGGTTGCATTCAAATACGTGTCCGAATCGGCACGGTTTATGGCAATTTTAAAACATTTTAATAATACTTCTTTTTCAAACGTAAGCAGTTTACTCGAAAATAGCGAAGCAAGGATATTCATATCGTAAACTGATTATCGCCGAACGCTTTGAGCATCTATTGTTGACACTCGATGAAACAGGAGACGATCACATTCTCTTGGTAAATCAAGATCACAGAATGTGGAATTAGTGGATACGATTCGTGTGATTCTGGTAGCCGGCCAAAAATACACAAACCCATGTAGTCTCGAATATCACTTAACAATTCCTCTCTATCGTTCCTCGTTAAAGCTTATTCTTACTAATTTCAATGTTTAAAATTTTCGATAGAGTTAATAATTTAAATATAGTTTTGGCTATTAATTATAAACAATTCTTCAAATGATTCATTCGTCACAATCACCACAATCATATCCATGTTTGACTCAACTGCGATGACGTATTAAGACAAATGATTCGCTTCGAACGTTGCATCCGAACTTCGCAGTTCAACGCGGGACAAAAATTGTCCCCGACGTTGGGGAATTAAGATGCCATCCACGGGCGATCGACGTCCAATAGTTTCTCCGTTCGGTTCGGCGCGCGAACGACATCGCGAGGAAGTTCATTTTCCGTTTTGACGTTATCTGACGATAGTAACGAAAGTCTGATTCACGGATCCGGGAGCGTATGTAACTCCAACCGACTAATGAAATTTAAATGCGTCGTGCAAAGGCGAGTTTCGCGTACCGAAATTTCGGCGAGCGCCGCTCCCGCATTCGTCGCGACACGACCGAAATATCTCATATGGAATAGTATCGCGACGCTACGCGTAATTAGAATTCGTCACAGTAATTAATGCCGACGTACTGCGGACACGGTATGCGCAAGAACGTGGCGCGTGGACTTGCCGAGTATGTAAATAATAAACTCTTTTATCTGGTCGCGTGATGATTTATATACGTCAGCCGCGGCAATAATCGCGAGGGCGGGCTATTACTAATCCTAGATCGAGTCTCTTCCTTGATAAACGATGTCTGGGAAACGTTAACGTTAATGTTTTCGCTTAATCTCAAAGTCGAGCATTAAAGCAAATTTACACGTGTACCCGCGTCATCATTTTCTTCGTAACGGTATCGCAGCTGTGACGTTTGCAGAGCACGACCGAAAGGGGGGGACACTTTAAAACACGATTACGACGGTGTTCGTCAAATAATTGGGGGGACGGCGAATGCAACGTTCCACATGGTATCCATATTTGTTTAAGGCACGGCATAAATGCGTGTTTACGTATGCATCGCAGATAGTACCGGTGAAATTCGCAGGTAGGATTCGATCGCGGCCGGTGTTATAACGTCAAACAGGTTCCCATCAATCGTCCATTTCTTTTCTGGCGCCTGTTGCTCGTATGCCTCGAAAAAAATCCTAGTAGGCTAGCTGAATGCTTAAAGAGAGAAGGGAAAAATGTAACAAAGAATGGGAAATACGTTAAAGATTGAGAAAAGGAGTGCGGAGTTGACAGGGAATGGAACGCAAGCAAAGTAAATAGTTTTGAAACGTTGCGTTTGAATGGACAAAATGCATGATCCTGGCAGACTCCAAGCATCGTTTTAACACGCTGTAATACATGCCAACACTCACATTCCGATAGCTTTTTGTTGTGGCCAGGGTAGAGGAAACGGTCATCACGCGGGATATCTTGTACCATCTGACGATGTACAGAGCACGACAGGATACCGTGGCCATCCTCCAGGACGTTTGCTCCGTTAGAAACGGACCACAGGACGAACACGGACACTCTCGTAACGTTTCTTTTTTTCACGAGTCACTGACACCCAACACTAAAGAACCATCGGCTGTCTTCGAGCGACTACCGAAGTTATTCGACGGGCGGCATCGCTTGCCGGCTCATCCCTGCATACAGAGACCCAGGCCTTGCAGTGGCCAATGGCGCGATATGCGCGAGCCGCGCTCTTTGACCGCCATTGGTCGACGGTGCACGAACCAATCAACGTTTGACCTGACGATTCGCGCGATTCCAGTTCAATATTTGAAACGTTGTTGCGTCTATACTTTATTTTTCTTATACGTTTCACCTGAAATGACGATCGTGCATCGAAAGAACGCGTTCCTTGGCAATGTTCAGTGCGTCGGGATGAACGAGAGGTTAAATAAATACATCGAATGTCGGAAGGCAGTCTTCCACGTGCATTGCGTTTAATGCGTTGGAACAAGCTAACCTAAAAAGTTGACCAATATCAAGGGAATGTCTAACGCTCATCCGGACGATTTCGACTACAGTTACTACGACTACGACCTTTCGTATCGTTTTCATAACGCCAGCCTGAGTTCAAACGTACCTTCGTGGCCCAGCTTCGCACGTATCGTTCTCGTTATCCTGCTGCGCATTGGCTTTGTCCTAATTCACGTTGGTAGCGTGCCAGTGAACAACGTGAATTTGATTCTACTGCAAAATATCATTGACGTTTGTTGGGTAACGGTGGCGTTCATCATGATTGGATTTATTATTGCCTATAACGGCGACGTGAGCGGAACGATAGGCGAAGGATATTGGATCGGTGATGGAACCGTCGATAAGGACGAAGCCATAATTGGCTGGTCGGCTGTGGTGATAGCTGCTGCAATTTGCACTTGCGGAATCGTGGGCAGAACGCACACCGTCGGTTACCTTGTGATAGGATTCATTCTGGCGGCTTTGATGCAACCCCTCTTGATTCACTGGATCTGGACACCCAAAGGATGGATGAAAAGGAACGTATTGAGCGGAAGAAACGTTAAGTTTCGGGACTATGCCGGCTCGACGGTTGTTCACCTCGTTGGTGGCTTATCGGGATTGATCGGTTGTATGACACTTGGACGAAGAATACTCCAGTTGAGTGCAATAGACGACGCTAGCATCGCTGCTGGTACGTCAGGAACCGTGTTCGCGGGTCAGTTAATGGTATTCATTGGCCTTCAGGTAAGTCCATCGAATCGATCTTTAGATAATTTTTATTAAAAATATATCCATTCGTTTAGAGTCTCGGTATGCCGAACGAAAGATTTAAAACTCGAAGTAAAATTCAGTACAACGTCTACTTGAACAATTTACTGGCTGCGTCTTCGTGCAGTTTGCTCGTTGTGGCCTTCCATTTTGTGCTTACCGAAGAAGCGTTCAATCATTGGACAGTAATGAGATGCGTTCAAGCCACGGTAGCTGGGCTGGTAATAGTATCGGCCGGAACAGATTTTTATTCGCCTTTGGCCGCGATCGGTTTGGGCTCAACCGGCAGCGTGATTTTTTATTTCATTTCGAGGCTAGTGTTTCACAGTGCGCTCGAGGATTATTGCAACATCGTTGCTATTCATCTCGTTTGCGCTCTTTTCGGAAGTATTTTGGCGCCCCTCTTCGATACCGGTCAAGACGCGGACGTTGTATTAATTTTATTGAATTTTTCTTGGCAATTGATCGGTTTGATCGTGACAATTTTTATCGTTTCGATTGTCATGTGCATTGCCTTTATCGTATTGAAATTTCTGGATTTATTGAGAAACAGGACGGAACACTTGAATCACTTAAGGGCGAGAATAGCTATGGAAAGAAACCCTCAGACGTCGTTTTTGCGGAGAATCTTTTATACTGACGACGAATCAATTTATCTTCAACCGGGGTCGATGTCGAATTCTGGTCACCGACCACAAACTAGTTCCCATGTTATAAAATATCAAAATGAGGGCGCTGCCGTGGAAAAGGGTAGAGTGATCGAGGCAAGTGCAACAGGAATTTGAAAAGTCTAGACAAAATTAAGTTTCAAGACATTTATACACAAATTGAAATCAATTTTACTTTAAAACTACCCAATATAATCAATGTTTTAAGAGTAAAATTATAACCCTCGTGTTTTTAAGACTTTAAACGATTCTTTTATTAGAACTTACAGGCTACCCGTACAATTATTACAGTATTTTACAATAGAATAATTTTCACTTAAATAATCAAAAGTTCTATTAGTGTCGTACACATATCCTACAGGTGTTTCCGTTTATTCGTACAATGTTAGCTTTTTCCTGTTTACTTTTTTTTGTATCTGCAAAACAGTCTCTTAGGGAATCTACTAAACGATTGTTACTTTCTGCGCGTTTCTCTATGTAACACGAAATGCAAATATACGCGCAGATCAGCATCAAGAACATTTTACCGTTGGTTATTTTAGAAATTTGTAACGAATTCGAATGTTAAACCGAGTAGCCACAGATCGCAAACGTATCGAATAATATTCACTTAAAATTTATAAATTTGAATAAATATTGCTGGAGGGAAACCAAATTGCCTTTATTTTCTACAGTTTCCAAATCATACTACAAATTTTAATTCTCTGTTTCTCTAAAAAATTGATTCTTAACGAAAGAGGTTATGTTCGTGGCGTATAATTGCTAACAGGGGCTTTTAAATTGTCATGTTGATATAGCGAATCCTTCTATGATTTTGCCGTTCTGGTTTGTCAAATGTTATTGTCAGCTAGCAGCAAATCGGACAATCATTACTACCGCCATACCGAACAAAATCGATAATATTGACTCTAGAGATCCGACATTATGATTAGTACAATAATACAATCGTATATACAACACTGGTAAAATGGCACGATTCGATGAAACATATCAATCGCTTAGTGCGTTAATATCGTTACTGGTTAACTATTATTATATTAACAATTACCTTTGTACATGATTTGCTAAACGTCGCGTGGCACTGTTTAACGGCAATACAAAAATGAAAATAAAATATATAAGGTTTAACAAAACATTAATAAGATACTATTTAAATGTGAATCGATTGATCGTGGATGAAACAATGAGCTTTTTGTAAATGTATACTTTGCGAAGGAATGAAGTCTTAATATTCTAATCGCCCGTTTTAGATCAACATCAATGGTTTCCGCAAAATATGATTACAATTTTTTCCTGTGTAAGTAACGACCTTGTTATAACATGAGAATATTGGGTAAAAAATTTTCAAAACCAGTAAATTATATTTTATAAACGAACGCAACGTCAATGTTGCAAAAGTACTACGAAAGTAGAACACCTGGGATAATTTAAAAAAAATTGGTGAATGTGCGGAGTCCGGTCGATTCGTGAAAAAGAGTAAGTATCTAATACATCGTATACAAAGGTATCAAACGTAGTCTTAACTGATATGCATTCAACAAACGATCACCGCGATTAAACCATCTCGCAAATAACGGTTTTATTCGTAAAAGATACGTTCTCGTTCGACGTCCTACGCGATTTGGTAGATATAATACATCAGGTTTTACAGTTTCAAAAAATCATTTCATTTCCTTTGACAACGAATATATCTCTTACCTCGAAACTTAGGATTTATCACTAAACCAGTATTTGCGTGCCTTAAATATGACACTAACGATTATTGCAGATAGGTAGTTATCACCTCCCCACTCAAAAGATCAGGGTTCATCGAAAATGATCCTCCAAGTACAATCATTTTCTTAATTTTATAGCGTTAAGTCATTATGGTACATCTACGATCACATCAAAATAGTACGATACATAAATGTACAAACGGACGCGATCACACACCTTTCATTGACATTTCCATCATCAGTACCAAGAATAGTATTGTCAAAATATACATAGAATCATCATTATCGTTTCTTAAATATCCTTATAGAACGAGAATTAATGTACATTGCGTCTCCGGGAGGTAAGTGGGTGGGAGAAAAGCTCCAAATCCCAGAGTCTCACACTCGCAAAAACGATCCTGCAATTAGTAGCAGAAGCGAAGGACTGGCGGATCTTCGATCCAAACATCAACGTTCGATCTATTTCACTGATCACTTTCACGAGGAAATAAATCTTTGCAAATATTGTAACACGATTTGGACAGATCTTGTCTCGCGGAGGTCGAATATCGTTATTTTCCCAAAATACACGTTTGGTCGTCTCTAATTTCATTTATCAAAGCATCCATTATCCTTCTTCTCTTTACTACCTAACCACCAAAACTATGGTATTTCTCCAAATTCGTGCGATCCTCTTCGCCAAAACGTGCGTACGCGGGACTTTTGGTTTACCAAAATATCGATGTCGCGTAAATTAAATTCGAACGCAAATTAAAAGTCCTGTATCGTTTCCATGTTTGTCCAGTAGTAAAGATCAGAATGGAATGCGTACAATCGCGATAGACGGACAATGGCACCAACGAGTGGGTTGTACTTCTAGTAATCATGTCCTCTACGAGACAACAACGATGACAATAATAATATAACGTTAATAATAGTGCTATTGATTTAACAACGATCGACAGTCACGGTCGTGTCACCGTGAAATCGCTTATAGTGACTAGCTTTGTAGGCTCCTCCACCGAATTAGGCCAATCCACTGGGATGTAGGCCTTGTACGGTTCTTCACGTCGAAGATTCGAAGACCAGTGGAGCGTTTAATGTACAATTAGTTTACAAATCTTCCGTTAGCAAACGATGAATTTCGTTCACCGTCGAGATAAGAAGTCCGGAAACGGTATCGTTTCACATAATCGACGTTTGTTAGGTCATCACCGTGTCGGTGAGATCTTCCTTCAACCACTGTGGAATCGTCCTCAAACCGAGTCGTTTCAACAATTTAACTAGGGCTGTATTATGGGACAGATAATACCTCTGTAAAGAAATAAGTAGTTATCGTAACACGTTTTTTAACTTCATTTTCTCAACATTTATCGTCGTCTGTACCTGCAACAATTTGTACGATTTATCCTCCATCGGCGGATACTGGCGTCCTTTGCTTTTACCGAGACATTTCGTATGATCCTCGTTCGTTACTTGGCAGAAAAATCCTTTCTTCGGATCGTATCTCAGATGCGACGAATAATTAAATGCGGGCGCGATCTTAAGGAACCTTTGTAACTCGTGTAACGTCTCCACCGGATTTTGACGCAGTTGTTCACCGTCTATAATGTGCAACTGTTGGGGCGGGTAATACGATAGCCACCTCTCCAGATGCTGAGCGTATTTTCCGGGATTTAAACATCTGTAACAGTAACGCGATTGTTTACATTAATTAGTTGAAATAGATTAACATTTCAATGGATCACCGAGTAATCCACACGTTCTCAGGCCATTAGTAGTTCAGAATTCTGTACGTCTACTCTGTACTGTTGTTTGCATTAATGTTTCGAGGAATTAGTTGGGCTCGAGGTTTTCAACCAGGGATTTAAAAGGTTCTCTAGTCGAATAATATCTGACGTTTCCGAGGAACCGGAAGCCAAACCGATATACTTGAGAATTCACAGTTCTCCATAACTGTTTCGAGAACCTAAATCGATATTCTAACAATGTTCAATCTTTACTCACCTATTCCTGAGATCGCGTAGGGGTTTCGGAGCGGTGTCGCTGGCTGTGATGACCGAGTGAAAGGAATAATTATTTGCTACAGGGTCTCCGTGGACTCTCGTGTGCTGGTACCAAGAGTAAGCTCGCCTGGCAGGCGAAAGCAATATAGTAATTAATTTTGCTCTCGGTAGAAGCGCGTGAGCTCTGCGCGGCACCAGCTCCCCGTCGAAATAGGTGGCCGATTTTTCGAAAAGGTACCGTGAACTCTCGTTTTTCGACGCTGGGAAGAAGCTCATGTACCTAGAGAAAAGTAAATCAGTGGGGTAAATCGGTTCGCACGATTCTCAATTCCACATTATTCTCGCTTACCAGTCGAGGCCCTTGTAGTAATTTTTTCCATTGAAGAACTGGATCTCTTCGAACGTGTCGGGACTCGGCAAATTGCTACTTATCGCTGGATGAATGGAGAGGAAAGTGTAGAGGGCCGTGGTACCAGTTTTTTGGGGGCCAATTACCAGGAATCTCGGTAGTTGGTCGCAGGTTTTGTTCCTCGACCAGATCTTTTGGTGCCTCTGGTCGTCGCAAGGATTCTGTAAAGAAACAAAGTTAGCTTTCGCAATGTAAGTTAATAATTTATTTAGACTATAGAATTGTAAGACGACTTACGCCCCATACGGGATCGGATTCCTCCGGGTAGAGTTGAAAATAACGCTCGGCAAGCTGAAGGGGCGGTGAGCTCGACAGTCTCAAATTCGTCCAACATTGAATGAACTTGATCACCGACTCGAAGGTGTATAGTGCCAGACGATCGTTCCCGTAATTCGACATATGCGTCATAAAAATATTAATCTGCAAAGAATAACCGTGGAAAATACATCGTTAGTCAGGCAGGTGCCCAGCAACGACTTATTTGTCTTTTCTAGGTATGTCTTGCGTTTAGAAAAAAGCTCCAAGTATTGGATTACTTACGGGATTGTGAACGATAGTTTGGAACAGCTCGCCACCCTGTATCGATTTGTCTAGCTTGTCCCTTCCGCCTGGGTATCTATCGATGAAGATCGTGTGCGTGAAAAGGCCACAGGTTTGCCTTGGTAAAACCTTGCACAGAAACAACGAGAAATTGTCGCGTATCAGATTTATTAGTCCTTCCTTTCATAGAATATCAATGTTTTATTTCTTTTATTAATCGAATGCGTCCGTAGAGACGGAAAGATTGGATACGATTTGATAAAGAAAAATTGAATTTGCGATTGTTGGTAATTTTACCATTATGTTCCGATGAATGAAACCGCGCCTTAAACGAGCCGGCCTCAGGTGAGGGTACTCTTCGGTGCTAGTGACTTTGATGTTCCACACTCTTTTCCATGCCTCGTACAGCCCTTCGTGAACCGGATAAACGCCAGAGTGATGAGGACTCACGCTGTAACCACTTCCTGTCGGGATCCCGTGGTCTTTGGCGAATTGTTTATTCAGCGCCATGTCTAATTGTAGATGCGTTACATTCTCGTAGAGATGGGGTTGTTGATGATTCCACATGTGAGAAAACCACGTAAATCTGTAATTCAACGCCTCTTTTAGCACCCTTTGCTCTGTACTCTGTGCTAATAAAATATTATTTTTATAAGTTAAATTTCAAACGTCAAATATTTTCAAATCCGTGTAAACTAATTCCTTTTTTAAAAAGAGGTGAAAAATTGAATATCCCGATCCGCGTGTTTCATCGACAAGGCAGACGAACGAACCGCTTATGTGTAAAATACAATTGACGTATTATTCACGGCATTATACGACTGCCCGTACCGAAGCAATTATACGAACGCAGGTGCAACAAAGAGCACGAACGAGTTGCAACAATTCGCGAAGAGGCGCGACTTCCGTGGTTCAATGAAGCGTAACACGAGCACAGTCTCAATGCGTTAATTTACTCTAATAGCCAATCCTTTTCTGTTCCGTTCACTCTTCAATTTACACGCTAATTCTTCAACAATTTCCTTCTCCCATTCATCGCGCGAGAACGCGAAACGTTCCTTTAAATCGTTTCCTCGAAAACATCAACAATTTGGTATAAAATAGAGACAATACGCGATATAACTCTGCTATTCCAAATATCCTTGTTTAGGTAAATTCGTGGATAGTACAGGTTTTCGTAGAAACCTCGTTAAGGGGCCTTTCTACCTTGTGGGATTAAAAAAATCGATATTTTTTTTTGCATTTTCCTTTAGTATGTAGTCTCGAAAATATGTCTACCAAATATTAAATTGAAATTTGAAAAACTAACGAAGTTATAGCCTGTTGAAATGTACCGCGTGCAGGTATAACAACTGGACGTGAAACTTTAAAGCTGTTTTTCTCGAAACTACATTTTTCGGCACTGCGTGAGTGATAACTAAAAAACTATTCAAGATATCAACATCAAATTTATACAGTGTCTTCAGAACTGGTCTCCCTATAGCATGAACTAGGATAATTGCGATATATGCAATACTTTTTCTTTTATTAACAAAAAAGCAACCAAATATATGAAAATATTCAGTATTTTTTCGTAAAATAGCTGCCATTTTGCCATTTTTTGTTTTTTTGAAAAGATCCTAGTTCATGCTATAACCACACTCATCTATATTAAGAATATCGTTGGTTTTAGGATTTCGAATAACTTGTTCGCAAGATATCACGTACGCAGTCGGGTGCCGTTCGTAAAAACTGTTGTTTGATAATCAACAAAAACAGCGTAATCAATAGATATTATGCGTTGCAAAAATTCGTAAATATAGCTAAATATATAATAAATGTATCTACAAATTCCGGAATTAATCGCTCTTTAATAACCCGCAAAAAAATATCACAAAGAAACACGTATTTTTCATGCCTACAAGGTAGAATGGCCCCCTAAAGGGTAACGTGGGTACGTACCTGTCGACGTTCTCCAGAAGCATGTCGTCCCCCAAATTTTCTTCCGCGGTGCCATGATGGAAGTACTTCCCGGAAAACCCCAAGTTAAATTTAAAACCCGGCACCAGCGATTGGATCCTCTGCTGAGTGGCCAGCAACGCCATCACGTCGTCCTTCCTCAGTCTGGTGCCTTTCTCCCCGACAAATATGTCGTCGACGTCTACCAGGATCATACGATTTAGGCTTAGGCTCAATTGGCCGTGCGACAGGTAGGAAAGAGAGTCGAGGAGCAGCAAGTTGTGCAGCCAAAATCGGAGTCCGCCACCGAAAAAGACCCTCTGAATCCCGTCGTATCTGCCGTGATCCTGCGTAATGTAAATCCGATAGGAACGTTAGGTTTATCAGGCTGAATTGGCCGTTGCCTCGGTTCGCTACGCGATGCTACTTTTTCTATTTATCGAGAGCAGGGGATTAAACGACCAGGTCTGAAATGGCTCGTTTACCGGAGCAACTGATAACGCCTCGACATTTAATATCGATCAAACTCCATGGGTAATCCTATCGCGTATGGTAACGATGGACGGTGAAAAAAAAAACCATACTCGTTGAAAGTAAAATTTTAGGGAGAATTAAGGCTCGATTAACGCGGCTGATTCGTTCAGTGGATTCGAACGTTATTCGCGCCGTGAACCGCGAACGCTAATCTGCTTTCACCTGATCGAAGAACAATTATATTTTACGAAATCGTAATGCAACGTGGTTCCCTCGATATTTTTGGCAATCCTTCAAACACCTTTTTTCCGAAAAAAAAGGTGATGTCACGAAGAGTTTGTAACGATCGAGCAAGTCGAAATCTTTCTGTAGCTCGACTGTAGCTTCCGTTTCGCGTTCGTCGTCGGTGTTGTTTTGGCGGGGTCTCTTAGTTGGACGGGCGCGTTTTGAAACGACAGCTATGAACGGAGCTTGTTAGCAGTAAACAACAATAATAATCTCGCTGATAACCCCATTACGCGGCCGCGGCTTCCAGACCGGGGATTCACGGATCGCAGGTAGCCAAGTAATTAAATCAGAGGCCAATCAGCCGTTGGTTCATTCGATTAATGGGCATCGGCGCAAGCTGCTTCATTTGCTGCCATTCGAACCTGCAATTTATTTTGTTTCCAGAACACGCCTTGGCCCGCGAGCTGCATCCTCGATGAACGACAAGTTCGCGAAGGAGAAGCGTCCTCGTTCGAGCGATAAAGCGCTAATACGGCGGGGCTTTGCGCTCGATGAGCTTCGGTGTCCGAAATATTTAGCAGTTTCCGTTGGAAAAACTGCCCGGATCTGGTAAAGCGAGGCTCAAGACTCTCGAGACGTAAAAAATAATTTCTTCGAGCTCTGGCTGCGAATTACTCGACAGAAGGTAGAAAATGGAGGGAATTGCAGCGCGACCTAATAAAAAATCTCTTACCCGTACTCGGTGAAGGGACGGAGGACGGAGTAGGTCCGTCGTATGGATCCGCGAGCACGGAGAAACACAAAAGCAGATGATATCACGTCCAGGCTGTTTGTTATATTAAGGGAGGGTTTCCTGTTTGCGCCGACGAGGATTCGGTACAGACCGATGTGTCTCCACCGGGTTTGAATTTTCGTATTCTATAGATCACCGGTCGTTCTTTCATGCGACGCGAATTCTCTTCCGGGTCGGCCCTTAAGCGTCCTGGAATCTCGTAATCGCGAATTCCTTCACGAATGTGAACGCTCGACGGAATGACTTTATGAATTGTTTCAGCTTCTCGGTTCTTTTTACTTCCTCCTCGCGACACTTAGTTTTCTTTCTCGTTTCTCTCTATTTTGTTACTCGTTCCACCGTACGCTTCCTCTCCTCCATATTTACTATCAGTTTCTATGTACGAATGGGCATAATCGGTACGCGATGACGCGTGACCGAGGGACCAAAGATCGAGCATTTTCGATCTGGCGGCGCGGCGGTAGTACCGCAACGTTGGTTAACGAATTGACCAACACGGGATCAGCAGCGGTGCGTTCCGGCATCGTGTTCGCATCTCCGCGGCATTCGATGCGACCGCGTGCTGCGGCCAGCATTCTGGGACTAGAATCGGAACCGAAGCCGGTGTTTCAGTTCGTCGCCGCGTCGACCAATTCCACGTCGAACCGAAAACACCGCCGTAAGAGACAAAAGGCGTTAATTAACGGGGACGAGAAGTTCTCAGAGGTCGGTTTCTTGGAACAGGCAAGACGTTTAAAAATGGGGCTTGCTCATTAAGGGAACGAAATATTACTAATATAATTCACACAACAAACGGAGAACGCCTTGACGTACAATCATGTTTAATTAAACCAACTTCGCGTTCCGGCCCTCACTTTGTACGTTAACAATGCAAATATTAATTAAGGCGGTTGTTTCTGCCTGCATTTATTGGCGTCGCGTTACGTCGGAAGGAAAGGAGTTGCTTCGAACAAAGGATCATCAGCATCGTGCGTCTCGAAAGCTCGACTAGTCTCTATGCGTCCTTCTTTGTGTACGGACGGACGACTTTTCCACGAAATTAAACGGCTGCTACAAGAATTTTGTCAAACGATTTCGAGACTGTCTTTGGAATAATTGTTGTACTCCCTCAGTGCGTGCAGAGTCACGGACTTATTTGCATTAGTGCACATGAGTCGCATCTCACCTGAATGACTGTTGCCAAAGGACTCTTGTTGGCCGGATAGTCGAGACTGTCCCTGTTCGCCCAAGCCAGGGGTTCGTAGGTGCTGTGATTGGCCTGAAAAATGGTCCAGTCGCCGCCAGGAAGCGGTCCCCAGGCAGTTTCCCCGGATCTGGTTAATCGGAGAATAGGGGACGCCGCGTTCAGCTGAGCATCCTGTGGGAGAAAAACCCGATCTCATTTTTTCGACTGTTTGAAAACTTCTCGAACATTATCGGCGCGTCTTTTATTCGATTATTGGTACTTTAGCTTACACGCGACACCGGCACGATCACCAAGTACTATCCAACGATGATTTGATGGTTAGGCACGCCGATTGGCCGTACTATCGCTATTGGCTGGAGTGCTCATAACATAATTCCATCATTTGACGAAGGATGCGAACGAAATATATCGAGATAGAGTAGGATAGAACAAGAGTTAGCGACATTGGTCAGAATACTAACCATGAATAGAACAAAAATCTTTCCTTACATTTTACAGTATCATTATAATTTGTAAAAATTAGTCTGCACAGTTTACCTGCCAGCCGAGTTTATTATGGCCCCGATTGGTCTGAACGTCCATCATTATCGCGTAAATTAAACATTTCTCCGGCAGGTATCGACCTACAGTCATAATTTGCCTCCAAACATAGACGACTTATTTATTTGTAGCACCCCCTATTCCGGCCATAGACAAGCGAAACGAACCAATTTTGTCACAATTCTTTAAAGAATGAATGAATCCGATAAAATATAATGAAAAAAATGCATATAAATTATTCGAATAAAAATCTTTCATATAAATAATTACATACTTATTCTTAAATATTTGCAAGAAAGCTTATTAATAATTATTACATTTTTAAAAATATTCCATATGAATTATACGTTTATTCGAAAGTATTATTCATGTTTTGGTCTGTTCATAATTTGTGAAATGTTTGAAGACTATTCTAGACTTCATCAGATGAATGAACTTGCGTTATTTAGTAAACAGTAAGTAAAAGCGGTTTCGCTATATCTCTCGCGGAATGGAGATCCTACTAGTATGTACGAGGTGTGTAAATTAAGTAATGAGACTGATTTTTTAAAATTATTTTATTCGAATAGAATTACAATTCAATATTGTCTCCATGAAAATAACTTCCTTGGGAAGCCACACAGCGTTGGAGACGATTCTTCCTATCCTCATAGCAGTGCTGGAACTCTGATACTGGTATAGCCTTCAGCTAGTCGGTTACAGCCGCTTCAATGTTTTCGAGTGTCCCAAAATAACGACCCTTGAGATGATTTTTCAATCTCGGGAAGAGGAAAAATCACAAGGACTCAAGTCAGGCGAATAAGGAGGCTGAGGAGCCACAAGAATGTTTTTACTGGCCAAAAACTCATTTACTGAAATTGCTGTGTGACAAGGCGCATTGTCGTGATGCAAACACCCAGTTGTTCTTGATGTTTGGCCTCACACACATGACCCTTTTTCGAAGTTTTTCTAGAACCTCTCGGTAAAAGTGTTGATTGACCGTTTGGCCTTGAGGCACAAACTGTTTGTGGACGATTCCCTGGCTATCGAAAAAACAAATCAGCATGACTTTTGACTCATTTTTAGAACGCACTAGAAAGAACTGTTTTACGAAAATAGTTGTTACGGACAACCAAATGGCTCTAGCGGGTACAAACTTGTATCAAAGGCGTATCACACGTTCACCCACCGTCTCTCTAAGTCCCGCGTCCCAAATGTTGACAGAACGAACACTACGTCGCCAGTCTCATTACTTAATTTACACACCTCGTAGACCTTCTCTTCTTGCTCTTGCCCCGTTTAGTTTGTGGCCTAGCCAACAAGTCGTCGGTCGGATAGTACAAGAAATTAGTTTTGTCGATCGTTTAAAGGAAACCGGACGAATACCAGAATAATATCGCGGCAATGACAAAGCGTGCAGGCACGCAATCTTCGACAATATGCAAATTAAATCAGCGTCGAGTCTTCACCGACGAATACCGCTAAGAGGCATTTGTCGTATTGCAGTGCACGATAACGGTTGCAGGGTCGATGCTTTCAGCGCCTCGTTTCGCGAGCTTTTCTCTCTAGTGTTGCGGTGTCGCAATTTCTCCGTGGAATAAAGTCGGGAGCCCGTTTCGTCACGGGAACGGAGATTGGCAATCCGAGGTTTCTGCGATCGGTGCTGGTCCCGTCAGCAACCTTCGTCCGAAACGTTATCGAGTACCGAGCCGAAATTTATTTTTCATCGACCGATGCAAACTGCGGACGTCCCGTTCTTTTTTTTAAACGTGCAACCATCCGCCAACCGATTAGTTCGAGTAACTTTAAATTGTTCGAAGTATCGGTAACTATACAAGATTCGTCTCAAGGTCTAAATTAAACGGGAAAACTTGGGCAACTTTGCGTTAACTTTTGTAGCGACCGGTCGTGCGCACATGGGAAAGTTTTTCTCTCGTGCAAACGGCCCACGTAATTTACGACTCTCGTTCGTCGAAGCTGTTTTTGAGGAAGATATTTTCCAGACTCGCGTATCGAATGCGTTTAGTAAATTCTTTTCCTAAGTCCCTCAACAGCAAATAGAGACCGTCGTAAATTAGGGATTTCCAGAGGACACTCGACGCGTACCCATCGGAGTTTCGCCAAGTGGGCCCAGCGCGGGTGGTCCGAAGGAAATCTTGCAGTGAGGACGCAACGTCGTCCCCCTCAATCACCACGCCGTTTCGAAAACAAGCACGCCGTGGGCGTAAGAAATAGGCGGTGATTTGGGAAAAATAAACGGCCCTGATTGGAAAGGCCCAACGCGTGGGGTTAACCAATCAGGGTTGTTTAACAATTTTGCCAGTGCAACCGAGGGGTCGACACGGAGACGAGCGAGGAATAACTACACTTGGTTTTGCGCGCTCTATCCGAGAACATCGAAAAATAAAGAAAGATTTGTCACCCCACAAGAAGTGTAGTTCCTACAACAACCTATCCCACCACTTTTAATACTATTCTTACCGACACTTCACGTATACCTATTCCTACTCAAATACCGGTCAAATGACCGGGTTTCAGCACAACTTGTATTTTTTAATATAGAATGAAGATAAGACATAGTTTCAGAATTGAGTCTTCGAGATAATACTGTTACAAAAAGATATAAATCGTTCAACCAGTAAATTGACCGGTCGTGGTACGTAAGACAGACTACAAATTTTTCTCAGAAAATAAACAATAAAAAAAGAAGTGAATATTGAAAAAAGTATTATACGTATACTTTAGGAAAAGTCGATGCAATTACGTTGTATACATATAGGAAATTCTAATCGAAATTTTAAAAACGGTCATTTGACCGGTCGTGGTAGGAATAGTGTTAAGACGCGCTTGAACAGGCGTTGCTGATCTTACAAAATTGTTCGGAATAACGACATAACAATTAACGGTAAAGTTCAGATTCCGCGACCAAGATTTAGTCACGAGGAAACGTTAATCTCGCTCAACTGACCTTCAATCTAAGATTAGTGTGCACGAACAGTGGAAAACCCTTTAGTTGCGCGCCGACCAGACTTTCCTCGCCGGATGGCGCGAAACCCACGATGCCGACGGAGTACTCTCTGCAATATTTGTCCAGTAATTCGCGGTTCCATTTGTCCATTTGCAGATACTTGTTCAGGTTCTCGAATATCAGAACTCCGTAGCGACCTTTATCGAGATTCGTCAGCACGGGCAGAGACTTACCGGCCACTTCCAGCTTGTACCTGAAAACATTTTACTTGGCGTTAGTTAATAATTAAGTTGGAAATTTCGGGGAAACATTGCTGGCCACATATTATATTTTCAGTAATTTTTTTTTCGAAAATGCGCAGGATTTCGGGGGTATGTGTATTCATAAAAAATAATTGAAATTGACCCCCACAACCATAAATAATTTTTTCAGAAAAATTTGAAATTTTTCAATTTCGTCAACAAAAGGCACCTATTCGAATTTTTTTCTCGATAGTCCGTAGGATTTCGGGGGCATGTCTATTGACAAGAAATGATCGTAATTGACCCCTTCAACTAAAAATAATTTTTCTAGGAAGATTTGAAAAAACTTTTTCGCCGAAAAATTTAGGCACCTACTCGAATTTTTTTCTCAAAACTGCGTAGAAATTCGGGGGTATGTCTAATCGCTAAAAATGATCGTAATTAATCCCCGCAACCGAAAATAATTTTTCCAGAACGATTTGAAATTTTTCAATTCCGTCGAAAAATGTCAACACCTACTTGAATTTTTTTCTCAAAACTGTGCAGAATTTCGAGGGTATGTCTATTCACCAAAAATAATTGAAATTGACCCCCACAACTGAAAATAATTTTTTTAGAACGATTTGAAACTTTTCAATTTTGTCAAAAAATTAAGGCACCGTCGTTAAAAATAAATTTGTAGCAGTACGTATACGTACGTTACCGGTATAGTTTCATCGATTCTACATCGATTCTAGAAAAATGTTCCATCGTTCGAATTCTCGATGAAAGAAACGCAACGAACGCGACCGTGCAGAGTTCTCCGGGAATCTTTATCGGGAAGTTAACGTCGAGAAGAAAAATCGGAGGTTGAATCGATAAAAAAAATTGTTAAAACATTCGGAAGCGATATCCGCGCGTGTCAACGATCCCCGAAAGACTTGTTTCCCTCGAAGATTACGAGCAAAGAGACAAGAAACTTTCCTAAACTTCTTTCAGCGACGCTTTTTATTCTTTCCGCGAGATTATGCAATAAAGCAAGCATCGCTCGGAGCAAACGTGTTCCTCGGAATGGAATAAACCCGTTTTTTTTCTCGCGTTTCAACCCCTGCAGCAGCTATTCTCTCTTTCCGTCGGTATAAATGTTTTGCCACGAATATTTAAACGACAGGGACAACGATTTCAACGACCGTCGTTACGACAATTTCAATCCGTCCATTGGTATTGGATATTTAAAACGGGGACGACAATAAATAGAAGAGAAAAAAAAATGGAATATCGATAAGAGAAGCACCACGCGAGTTTCATCGTTAAACGATAAAACAAGGACACTTTTATCGAAATCCCATTTATGCGGCATCTGAAACTGCCTCGAGAATAACAAAGTAATTACACGTATAATACACTTTTGCGTTTCGTACCCCTTCCGTTCCCCCTTCTTCCGACGCCTCTTTCTATTTCCTTTTTCATTTTTTAATAACGTTCGAATTTGGTCCATCGAGATGTTCTCTACTATGTATACAGTGTCAATGGGATATTTGGGTTTTTATTTCGGCGTGGTCGCGTTTTCATTCGGTTCGCCGTCCGATAAAATGACTTTATCACCAAAATAAACCGACCAAGTTCGCCGATCCTGGTCGAGAATTTTTTTCGCATTTTCGCGAAAATAGTTGAGCATGCCGATAATGGATCGGAGACGAATTATATGGACAGAAGAGACGGTAGAGACGGCCACCTTTTACCCTGAAAATTGCACGAGTCGCTGTTGTACATTGTGTGGTTTTGAGTATGATAATCATTATAAAAGAAAAATGTACAACGAGATCGCATATAAGAATAAACGTTTGTTAAGTTTAATCCTGAAAAGAAGACTCGTTGCACCAAGTAAACCTGACAAATTAGAGATAGAAATTGCAATTGCTTTGAGAAGCACGCTCGAAGAAATATCAGAGAAACGAAAGACCCAACGTTGAATGCTAGTTTATGAAACGCTAGATAACGTATGTACAATCAGATTCTCGGCGTTTGTTATACAAACATCGAATTTCTACGCTTAAATCGAGATCTTACTGAAACGCCTCGTACGATTTACAGCTGTTACAATCACGTCACGCTTGGAATTCGTAATGCAAATAGCTAAGGAGCGTCCATTAACTGTCGCACTTTTAATGAAACTTTCTAGGTTAATGGAGCAGCCAGGAACGAGAGTTACCGCCGGAGACACAATTAACTTAAAAAATTGTTGCGTGGATACTCGACAAGAATTTACAGCCATTTGCGTAGAGAGAAGGAATCCGTCGATTTAAATGGTTCGGTTAGTCACAGCTGGTGGAAGAAACTGATTCTTCTTCGAAAGAGTCAAACAATGGCGGTCGTTGGCCGTTATCAACAGCTTACAGCCGCGTGTTTGCGCGTTGCGATAGAAAATTGCAGTTAACAGATGAACGAATGTCGGATAATTTAGCGGAGTAATCGGTTCGATAATTGGCAACCGCCCATTAACGATGGCCCGGCAATTTACGGAGCTAACGAACTGCCATAACGAACTTCGAAGCGGCTCTTTTGTTCTTGGCCGAGAATTGGCTGCCGCGTCGATTGCCAGCGTATGCTTGGAACGCGTGCACCGGGTCCGCCGAAGGATCCTCCGTTGGGCAAGATTCAAAGGTATCGATCGACGAACCATTGAAAAACGCGTGTCCGCAATTAGGTCTGTTTGGCGTTCAGCCTTCGGTGGTCGCGTTCGGTCGCTCGAGAGTCTTTAGGGAGGATTATATCCTCCGATCGTTTCTACCGCTGCAACCGGAGTAGCGACTTTGACCCTTTGCGTTCCAATTATGTCTCTCGAGAGACCGGCCGACTAGCTCTTAAGGGCGAACCACTGGAAGACTTTAACTAGTGCTATTCGTTGTTTGTATTATACGGAATACCCAGTATTATTTCTCACGGATTTGCCCGACGAATGGACGCGTTTAAATTGACGCGAATTCGCTTTACCGTTTAAATTGAGAGTCAGAGTCATTTTTTCACGATAAATTTGCTCGAATTACAAGAAGCTTGGGAAATCCTGGAATACAATATCAATCAACAGAGACGAAACTGAAATTTCACCGGACCTCCACCCGGTAGCGCGATGTCAGTGACAAAGGGAGGACACGGTCGAATCGTCCTCCCTACGGGTTTCGACGAGGTTTTACTGGGTGGGCCAACGTAAAAAATAAATCGATACGCGTCAGAGAAATTTTCTGTCATTGGACCTTAGTATTATATTAAAGTTATCATGTTAAGACTTTGCTGGAGAGATCTTCGGAAACGTCAAAACGTTTTTTGACATATTTTCGTTGTAGATTCACCGTATAAACGATCGATTGTATCCGTTCCTTGTAAAAGCAGATTTTTGGTAACGTTTGGTACAATCATATACGATAAGAGGCGAATATTAATCGGCACTGGTCTCGAACACGTGTCTCAGCCGGCGTTGCATTTTAAATTCATTGTCCGCCTGGAAATTCCTCAGGAAATTATTCGCGTTATTACATGCAAATGTTTAATCGCGCGTAATTAATGCATACAGCGTTAATTGAAAGTCCGTTTTCATTTCGACGGTACCGTTAGTATTTTCCATTTTCCGGGTGAAATGCATTAATACGTTTCACGTTCTGTGCTTCACTATCGTCAGGATCTGCATGGAATTGATAACGGCACCTTGTTGAAATTACACGGTCTTCCCTCATTAACTGGACCAGCGGATTCTGGGTCGCGTTTCGTTATCCGTACAGAGCTTACTATATTCTAACGTTAGATGAGTTTCAATCGAGCTATGGATAATGCAAGGAAAAATCGACCAAGATACACGGATAATGCAACAGACGAGTCTAAAGGTTTCCAACGAATGTCGCTTGGTTTAAATTATTTATTCTTTACGTATTGTATTTGTTGTGTTGTCGGATCAACCGATAGAACGTAACGTACGACCAAGTTTTATAGTATCCATTTTTGAGTCGCAAGAAATTATGTAACAATTAACGCGTCGACAATTATCGAAACGATACGATGAAATGATATCGAGGAGCCTCGATTACGAACGAAAGTTACGCAAACTCTAGTCAGAAAAATATTTTCGCCGAAAGGGTTCGAGCTCGCGCGAGCACATTAGGGGGGTGGTAGCTGGAGGCTGGTCCAGGGGAGAAATAATAATTTACCCGTGGGGCGTCGTTCCAAGGAAGTCGTACTCGCCTCGTAAATTCGTTTCGACGTGTGCCACCCTCCGTCCGCTTTCCCTTTGAGCTTGAAAAGCTCGCTCTATCGAGCCGCCTAGGAATAACAACTTCATAATTTCCGGGGTTCTTTCTGATTTGGCATACCTAAGTTACGAGAGAATAGGGGACGAAAGGAACTACGGAGAAATTTCTTCGGACTTGCATACTTCCCTATCGAATATTTCAATCGTATATCGGCTAGAAAAACTTTTTCAATTGTGGCGTCGCCTCCCATGCTCGCCACCAGAGGGATCGCGCTCTCACAAGCGCTCGACCGACTCCTCGGTTGCTCCTATACAGGGTGTTCGGCCACCCCTGGGAAAAATTTTAATGGGAGATTCTAGAGGCCAAAATAAGACGAAAATCAAGAATATCAATTTCTAGACTGAGGCTTCGTTAGTAAGTTAGTAAGTTATTAAAAAATTAAATTAAAAAATTTGAAATCATTCTGAAAAAATTATGTTTAGTTGCAGGGGTCGATTACAATCATTTTTGGTGAATACACATACCCCTGAAATCTTACCCACTTTTGAAAAAAAAATTCGAGCAGGTGGATTTTTTCGGCAAAATTGAAAAATTTCAAATCGTTCTAAAAAAATTATGTTTAGTTGCAGGGGTCGATTACAATCATTTTTGGTCATTAGACGTACCATCGAACTCCTACCCACTTTCTAAAAAAAAATTCAGTACTGGCGGAACTTTAAATGTTAATAACTTTTTAACGAAGCCTCTATCAACAAATTAGTATTCCTGATTTTCGTCTTATTTTAGCCTCT